GGTGACACTGTGCTACTTACACCAACACTGGTGACACTGTGCTACTTACACCTACACTGGTGACACTGTGCTACTTACACCAACACTGGTGACACTGTGCTACTTACACCAACACTGGTGACACTCTGCTACTTACACCAACACTGGTGACACTGTGCTACTTACACCAACACTGGTGACACTGTGCTACTTACACCAACACTGGTGATACTGTGCTACACACACACCAACACTGGTGATACTGTGCTACACACACACCAACACTGGTGACACTGTGCTACTTACACCAACACTGGTGACACTGTGCTACTTACACCAACACTGGTGATACTGTGCTACACACACACCAACACTGGTGATACTGTGCTACTTACACCTACACTGGTGACACTGTGCTACACACACTAACACTGGTGATACTGTGCTACACACACACCAACACTGGTGACACTGTGCTACTCACACCAACACTGGTGATACTGTGCTACACACACCAACACTGGTGACACTGTGCTACACACACCAACACTGGTGACACTGTGCTACTTACACCTACACTGGTGACACTGTGCTACTTACACCAACACTGGTGACACTGTGCTACACACACACCAACACTGGTGATACTGTGCTACACACACACCAACACTGGTGATACTGTGCTACACACACACCAACACTGGTGATACTGTGCTACTTACACCTACACTGGTGACACTGTGCTACTTACACCAACACTGGTGATACAGTGCTACTTACACCTACACTGGTGACACTGTGCTACTTACACCAACACTGGTGATACAGTGCTACTTACACCTACACTGGTGACACTGTGCTACTTACACCAACACTGGTGATACTGTGCTACACACACCAACACTGGTGACACTGTGCTACACACACCAACACTGGTGACACTGTGCTACACACACCAACACTGGTGACACTGTGCTACACACACCAACACTGGTGACACTGTGCTACTTACACCAACACTGGTGACACTGTGCTACACACACCAACACTGGTGACACTGTGCTACTTACACCAACACTGGTGATACTGTGCTATACACACCAACACTGGTGATACTGTGCTACACACACCAACACTGGTGACACTGTGCTACACACACACCAACACTGGTGACACTGCTACACACACCAACACTGGTGACACTGTGCTACACACACACCAACACTGGTGACACTGTGCTACACACACACCAACACTGGTGACACTGTGCTACACACACCAACACTGGTGACACTGCTACACACACACCAACACTGGTGACACTGCTACACACACCAACACTGGTGACACTGTGCTACACACACCAACACTGGTGATACTGTGCTACACACACCAACACTGGTGACATTGTGCTACTTACACCAACACTGGTGACACTGTGCTACACACACACCAACACTGGTGATACTGTGCTACACACACACCAACACTGGTGATACTGTGCTACTTACACCTACACTGGTGACACTGTGCTACTTACACCAACACTGGTGATACAGTGCTACTTACACCAACACTGGTGACACTGTGCTACTTACACCAACACTGGTGACACTGTGCTACACACACCAACACTGGTGACACTGCTACACACACCAACACTGGTGACACTGCTACACACACCAACACTGGTGACACTGCTACACACACCAACACTGGTGACACTGTGCTACACACACCAACACTGGTGACACTGTGCTACACACACCAACACTGGTGACACTGTGCTACACACACCAACACTGGTGACACTGTGCTACTTACACCTACACTGGTGACACTGTGCTACACACACCAACACTGGTGATACTGTGCTACACACACACCAACACTGGTGACACTGCTACACACACCAACACTGGTGACACTGTGCTACACACACCAACACTGGTGACACTGTGCTACTTACACCAACACTGGTGACACTGTGCTACTTACACCAACACTGGTGATACTGTGCTACACACACCAACACTGGTGATACTGTGCTACACACACCAACACTGGTGAGACTGTGCTACACACACACCAACACTGGTGACACTGCTACACACACCAACACTGGTGACACTGTGCTACACACACACCAACACTGGTGACACTGTGCTACACACACACCAACACTGGTGACACTGCTACACACACCAACACTGGTGACACTGTGCTACACACACACCAACACTGGTGACACTGCTACACACACCAACACTGGTGATACTGTGCTACACACACACCAACACTGGTGACACTGTGCTACACACACCAACACTGGTGACACTGTGCTACACACACACCAACACTGGTGACACTGTGCTACACACACACCAACACTGGTGACACTGTGCTACACACACACCAACACTGGTGACACTGTGCTACACACACACCAACACTGGTGACACTGTGCTACACACACCAACACTGGTGACACTGTGCTACACACACACCAACACTGGTGACACTGTGCTACACACACACCAACACTGGTGACACTGTGCTACACACACCAACACTGGTGATACTGTGCTACACACACCAACACTGGTGACACTGTGCTACACACACACCAACACTGGTGACACTGTGCTACACACACACCAACACTGGTGACACTGTGCTACACACACACCAACACTGGTGACACTGTGCTACACACACCAACACTGGTGACACTGTGCTACACACACACCAACACTGGTGACACTGTGCTACACACACACCAACACTGGTGACACTGTGCTACACACACACCAACACTGGTGACACTGTGCTACACACACACCAACACTGGTGACACTGTGCTACTTACACCAACACTGGTGACACTGTGCTACTTACACCAACACTGGTGACACTGTGCTACTTACACCAACACTGGTGATACTGTGCTACACACACCAACACTGGTGATACTGTGCTACACACACACCAACACTGGTGACACTGCTACACACTGGTAGCACTACTCTCCCTCATCAGTGTAGTCACTATCACCTCACTACCCTGCATCAGTTAGTGTGAATTTGTTTAAACTAAGACTGGGATTCATTAGGGTTGTCGACCAAGTGCAAATGCAAGCAAGAGCTGTTATCCTGCCTTAGCTTGTCTGAAGCCTTCTGCTAGAAACATTTATTTAATGAAAATGTTCTCTGAAACAAATTAACTGTCATATAAGGAACAGGAACCTGGTGAATCTACAAGCAAGAGCTGTAACCCTATCTCAGCTCAGTTGAAACCTGCTCCTAGAGACCCATTTATTTCAAGGGCTTGTTGGATGCATAATTAGAAATACAATTTGCCTCTAAGTAACAATGATATAAGGAGCAGAATGAGGCAGTAGCCAACTGTGTGCCAGAGCCTTCATGTGGTCAGGTGACCTGATCTCCCGTGTGTCAACCTGTTGGGCGAACAAGTTCCAGATGCGAGTCAGCCTCGGAGTGAATGATCGCTGATGGAGTGATGTTCTTGAGAAAGTCAGTTCCAGCATGAGACTGATGAAGGTTGAGAGTCTAGTGCTACGGGTGGCAACTACTGGTTGTCCACGGAGTTGGGCCAGGTGCGGAACTTTGAGAATGTTGGCCTTGTACATAACAGTAAGACCACCAACGTCCCGACGGTGTTGCAGGCTCTGATGTTCAGACCGTTCCCACCAGACTTGGTCAAGACTAGAGATAAGCCTTCTTGCCCGTCTCTCCACTTTGTCCAACAGTCTGATGAATGATGGGGGGGGGGGGGTCCAGGAGAGGGGTACATACTCTAGATGAGAGCGAACCTGTGCTTCATATAAGGGTGTGCAGCCCCAGCTGTCAAGAAGGTGTGAGATGCGCCGTAGAGCTGTAAGCTTCCTGGCTGCCTTTTGGGCCAGGTTAAGCACGTGACTCTTCATTGTCACTGAAGAGTCGAACTTCATTCCCAAGATGTCTGTTTCATCTGTGAACTCTAGGGACTTGTCACCCATGTGCAGGTCCGTCTGATGCGCCGTGTGCAGTCTAGTTATGATCATCGCTGGTGTCTTCTCAGCCACAATGTGACCTGCCATCTCCACGTCTTTTTTTCTCTCATTATCTCTATTTTCTCTTTCTCTTTTCTCTCTCTGTCTCTCTTCTCTATCTATCTCTGTCTCTCTATCTGTCTCTCTCTCTGTCTCTCTCTCTCTGTCTCCCTCTCTGTCTCCCTATCTCTCTCTCTCTCTCTCTCTCTCTCTCTCTCTCTCTCTCTCTCTCTCTCTTTCTCTTTCTCTTTCTCTCTTTCTCTCTCTCTCTTTCTCTCTCTCTCTTTCTCTCTCTCTCTTTCTCTCTCTCTCTCTCTCTCTCTCTCTCTCTCTCTCTCTCTCTCTCTCTCTCTCTCTCTCTCTCTCTTTTCTCTCTCTCTCTTTCTCTCTCTTCTCTCTCTCTCTCTGTCTCTCTGTCTCTCTCTCTCTCTCTCTCTCTCTCTCTCTCTCTCTCTCTCTCTCTCTCTCTCTCTCTCTCTCTCTCTCTCTCTCTCTCTCTCTCTCTCTCTCTCTCTCTCTCTCTCTCTCTCTCTCTCTCTCTCTCTCTCTCTCTCTCTCTCTCTCTCTCTCTCTCTCTCTCTCTCTCTCTCTCTCTCTCTCTCTCTCTCTCTCTCTCTCTCCCCCCCCCTCTCTTCTGCCTGTCACTCTATCGGTCACCCTCGCTATAGCATTACTTATTGAATTAAAACTATTAAACTTATTAAAAAGTACTCATTGAAAAAGAAAATCTACAGTATTAATATTACGCATTGAATTTACATGAAATTTCTGACCATTAGAGTCGCTGAGGATGGCATGAGAGGAGACCCTGAAGGTGTTACTGGGGCTCTTCCCAACCTCGTCAGTGACAGTCCCCCTCCTACCACCAGTCCCCCTGCAAAATTGCGCGAGGCTAGCCCTAGACGACTGACCTCCCAGTCTTAATACAAGCAGTCTATCAACACAATCTCCTCTCTCTCCTCTCTCACAGGCTGTTGCAGTCAGTCTGTTGGACCGGATCGCCAATCTGTCTCCACACCTGCCTGACGACACACGTGCTTGAGCCCCCCCACACACACCTGCTGAGCGCCACACAACTGCTGAGCGTCGCATCTGCTCCTCGGCGCCACGATTATGTCACTGGTCACCGTTTTGGGCAGCATGGGCAATGGGGGCAGAGTGCCCGGCAAGGCGAACGGTGAGTTCTCCCTCGTGCTGTGTCCTGTGTCACAGGTGTTGTGCACTGTGCGACAGGTGTTGTGCACTGTGCAACGTGTCGTATGTAATATAGCTTTTGTGCAATGTATATATTTTGGTCAGCGTGTTGTATTCATGTGTGTGCAACCGGTTCTGTGCAATATGTTCATTGTAATGTATCCTGTGCAATATGTTGGAGTGCCTGAACCGGTGTTGGAGTGCCTGAACCGGTGCTGGAGTGCCTGAACCGGTGTGTTGGAGTGCCTGAACCGGTGTGTTGGAGTGCCTGAACCGGTGTGTTGGAGTGCCTGAACCGGTGTTGGAGTGCCTGAACCGGTGTTGGAGTGCCTGAACCAGTGCCTGAGTGCCTGAACCGGTGCTGGAGTGCCTGAACCGGTGTGTTAGAGTGCCTGAACCGGTGCTGGAGTGCCTGAACCGGTGCTGGAGTTCCTGAACCGGTGTGTTGGAGTGCCTGAACCGGTGCTGGAGTGCCTGAACCGGTGTTGGAGTGCCTGAACCGGTGTTGGAGTGCCTGAACCGGTGTTGGAGTGCCTGAACCGGTGTGTTGGAGTGCCTGAACCGGTGTTGGAGTGCCTGAACCGGTGTGCTGGAGTGCCTGAACCGGTGTTGGAGTGCCTGAACCGGTGCTGGAGTGCCTGAACCGGTGCTGGAGTGCCTGAACCGGTGCCTGAGTGCCTGAACCGGTGTTGGAGTGCCTGAACCGGTGTTGGAGTGCCTGAACCGGTGTGTTAGAGTGCCTGAACCGGTGCCTGAGTGCCTGAACCGGTGCTGGAGTGCCTGAACCGGTGTGTTGGAGTCCCTGAACCGGTGTTGGAGTGCCTGAACCGGTGCCTGAGTGCCTGAACCGGTGCTGGAGTGCCTGAACCGTGTGTTGGAGTGCCTGAACCGGTGTTGGAGTGCCTGAACCGGTGTTGGAGTGCCTGAACCGGTGTGTTGGAGTGCCTGAACCGGTGTTGGAGTGCCTGAACCGGTGCTGGAGTGCCTGAACCGGTGCTGGAGTGCCTGAACCGGTGCTTGAGTGCCTGAACCGGTGCTGGAGTGCCTGAACCGGTGTTGGAGTGCCTGAACCGGTGCCTGAGTGCCTGAACCGGTGTTGGAGTGCCTGAACCGGTGTGTTGGAGTCCCTGAACCGGTGTTGGAGTGCCTGAACCGGTGCTGGAGTGCCTGAACCGGTGTGTTGGAGTCCCTGAACCGGTGTTGGAGTGCCTGAACCGGTGCCTGAGTGCCTGAACCGGTGCTGGAGTGCCTGAACCGGTGTGTTGGAGTCCCTGAACCGGTGTTGGAGTGCCTGAACCGGTGCTGGAGTGCCTGAACCGGTGCTGGAGTGCCTGAACCGGTGCCTGAGTGCCTGAACCGGTGTTGGAGTGCCTGAACCGGTGTTGGAGTGCCTGAACCGGTGCTGGAGTGCCTGAACCGGTGTTGGAGTGCCTGAACCGGTGTTGGAGTGCCTGAACCGGTGCTGGAGTGCCTGAACCGGTCCTGGAGTGCCTGAACCGGTGCCTGAGTGCCTGAACCGGTGCTGGAGTCCCTGAACCGGTGTTGGAGTGCCTGAACCGGTGTTGGAGTGCCTGAACCGGTGTTGGAGTGCCAGAACCGGTGCTGGAGTGACTGAACCGGTGTTGGAGTGCCAGAACCGGTGCTGGAGTGCCAGAACCAGCGTGCTGGGCAGGTGTTTACACAGGAGGTAAACACTGTCTGGGTGTGAGTGTCTGAGTGGTCGTCTAGGAGAGTGATGGAAGAGGAGAGGCGAGATGTTTACCAGGAGAGGGAGGGACGTTGGTGATGGGAGGGCAGAGGAAGAGGAGGACTAGGCGTGGAGGAGAGTGGTGGCGATAGAAGAGAAGGAGAAGAGAAGACATTGGGGGAAAAGGAGAAGCTGGAAGAGGAGACATGGAAGGTTGGGTGGTAGGCTTTACTCTAAGTTTGGTCTGAGGACAAGTACTGGGGAGGTGGTACACTAAGCTGGGGCTGAGGACAGGTACTGGGAAGGTGGTACACTAAGCTGGGGCTGAGGACAGGTACTGGGGAGGTGGTACACTAAGCTGGGGCTGAGGACAGGTACTGGGAAGGTGGTACACTAAGCTGGGGCTGAGGACAGGTACTGGGGAGGTGGTACACTAAGCTGGGGCTGAGGACAAGTACTGGGGAGGTGGTACACTAAGCTGGGGCTGAGGACAGGTACTGGGGGGAGAGGTTACACTAAGCTGGGGCTGAGGACAGGTACTGGGGAGGTGGTACACTAAGCTGGGGCTGAGGACAAGTACTGGGGAGGTGGTACACTAAGCTGGGGCTGAGGACAAGTACTGGGAAGGTGGTACACTAAGCTGGGGCTGAGGACAGGTACTGGGAAGGTGGTACACTAAGCTGGGGCTGAGGACAGGTACTGGGGAGGTGGTACACTAAGCTGGGGCTGAGGACAAGTACTGGGGAGGTGGTACACTAAGCTGGGGCTGAGGACAGGTACTGGGAAGGTGGTACACTAAGCTGGGGCTGAGGACAGGTACTGGGGAGGTGGTACACTAAGCTGGGGCTGAGGACAGGTACTGGGGAGGTGGTACACTAAGCTGGGGCTGAGGACAGGTACTGGGGGGAGAGGTTACACTAAGCTGGGCCTGAGGACAGGTACTGGGGAGGTGGTACACTAAGCTGGGGCTGAGGACAAGTACTGGGGAGGTGGTACACTAAGCTGGGGCTGAGGACAAGTACTGGGGAGGTGGTACACTAAGCTGGGGCTGAGGACAGGTACTGGGGAGGTGGTACACTAAGCTGGGGCTGAGGACAAGTACTGGGAAGGTGGTACACTAAGCTGGGGCTGAGGACAGGTACTGGGGAGGTGGTACACTAAGCTGGGGCTGAGGACAGGTACTGGGGAGATGGAACACTAAGCTGGGGCTGAGGACAGGTACTGGGGAAATGGTACACTAAGCTGGGGCTGAGGACAGGTACTGGGGAGATGGTACACTAAGCTGGGGCTGAGGACAGGTACTGGGGAGGTGGTACACTAAGCTGGGGCTGAGGACAAGTAGTGGGGGGAGAGGTTACACTAAGCTGCGGCTGAGGACAGGTACTGGGCAGAGAGGTTACACTAAGCTGGGGCTGAGGATAGGTACTGGGGGGAGAGGTTACACTAAGCTGGGCCTGAGGACAGGTACTGGGGGGAGAGGTTACACTAAGCTGGGGCTGAGGACAAGTACTGGGGAGATGGTACACTAAGCTGGGGCTGAGGACAGGTACTGGGGAGATGGTACACTAAGCTGGGGCTGAGGACAAGTACTGGGGAGGTGGTACACTAAGCTGGGGCTGAGGACAGGTACTGGGGAGGTGGTACACTAAGCTGGGGCTGAGGACAAGTACTGGGGAGATGGTACACTAAGCTGGGGCTGAGGACAGGTACTGGGGAGGTGGTACACTAAGCTGGGCCTGAGGACAGGTACTGGGGAGATGGTACACTAAGCTGGGGCTGAGGACAGGTACTGGGGAGATGGTACACTAAGCTGGGGCTGAGGACAAGTACTGGGGAGATGGTACACTAAGCTGGGGCTGAGGACAAGTACTGGGGAGATGGTACACTAAGCTGGGGCTGAGGACAAGTACTGGGGAGATGGTACACTAAGCTGGGGCTGAGGACAAGTACTGGGGAGGTGGTACACTAAGCTGGGGCTGAGGACAAGTACTGGGAGAGCTTAATTTGTGTAGTCTTCACTCTAATGAGTGCAAACTAATAGGACCTTAATAGAATTTAAAAGGAAGGTCCACTAAATCCCAAAATCTATAATCTCTATATGATATATTCTTAGTTAATGTTGTCCTGCATGTTTCTTCCTTGTTTGCTGGCAGGGTTGGGTCCTTAGGGGCCAGTCTTTAACTAGAGCCCATCAGCATTTGCATCCCAACTATTCCTGAAGATTAACGAAGTTTCTGATTCACATCTGCATCTGGCCCATTTTGTATCATATTTTCACCTCCCGAGATCATCCTCTATGAACGTTCCGGATGTGAGACGAACGATGTCTTATGGTTCTCCTAAGACATTGTTTTGGCCTCAGCTTCCATCCAGCTACAACAACTAAACCATGGCTGGCCAGAAACCATGGCTGGCCAGAAACCATGGCTGGCCATAAACCATGGCTGGCCACAAACCATGGCTGGCCACAAACCATGGCTGGCCACAAACCATGGCTGGCCACAAACCATGGTTGGCCACAAACCATGGCTGGCCACAAACCATGGCTGGCCACAAACCATGTCTGGCCAAAAACCATGTCTGGCCACAAACCATGTCTGGCCACAAACCATGGCTGGCCACAAACCATGGCTGGCCACAAACCATGGCTGGCCACAAACCATGGCTGGCCACAAACCATGGCTGGCCACAAACCATGGCTGGCCACAAACCATGGCTGGCCACAAACCATGGCTGGCCACAAACCATGGCTGGCCACAAACCATGGCTGGCCACAAACCATGGCTGGCCACAAACCATGGCTGGCCACAAACCATGGCTGGCCACAAACCATGGCTGGCCACAAATCATGTCTGGCCACAAACCATGGCTGGCCACAAACCATGGCTGGCCACAAACCATGGCTGGCCACAAACCATGGTTGGCCACAAACCATGGCTGGCCACAAACCATAGCTGACCACAAACCATAGCTGGCCACAAACCATGGCTGGCCACAAACCATGGCTGGCCACAAACCATGGCTGGCCACAAACCATGGCTGGCCACAAACCATGGCTGGCCACAAACCATGGCTGGCCACAAACCATGGCTGGCCACAAACCATAGCTGGCCACAAACCATGGCTGGCCACAAACCATGGCTGGCCACAAACCATGGCTGGCCACAAACCATGGCTGGCCACAAACCATGGCTGGCCACAAACCATGGCTAGCTGGCCACAAACCATGGCTGGCCACAAACCATAGCTGGCCACAAACCATGGCTGGCCACAAACCATGGCTGGCCACAAACCAT